CGATGTCTAGTGATGGTTTTTGAATTTTCTCTGTGATAGTTTTTTTTTTACTGAAATTTTATTTCATCAAATGTTAATTTGTTTCTATTATGTAAGTGGACTCAAAACTTTCAAATATTTTCTTCCTTCAATATTGAAATAAACACATACGCTTTTAGGATTCATTCCCAATTAATTCCTACTCTGGTTTTGGTTTTGTTTTCAATATTTCAAAATTGAATTTGACCCAACTTTAAAATTTGATTTCTTGATTTCAAACATTTCTACAGTAAATGAAATGACCCATTTCTGCTTTAAACTTTTTATGCATTCATTACAGTAAATAGCTGATGAAGGATACACACGAAAGCGTGTTTTGATCCTATGACTTTTCGTGAGTTGCTTTAAATAAATTTATATTCATCTGTCTCTATTAAAGACTTACGTGGCCATAGGTCCGCTAGAATGTAAGCAGTGATTTTGTTTTAGTCGTAGTTGGTTTCATCTTCAAATACTATTTAATAATCAATCTTAGGTGAATGTTGTTTCAGATATTTTTGTTCTTTTTCATTTCTATATATATTTTTGATATAGACCAATCTATTGTTGAAGGGATATGAAAAAAAAAAACACTACTGTAATTAGGAATTTCGAATCTTATTATTTTGATTCTATTTACTTTTGTGCTAATTTAAATACAAACAAAATATAAAGTGATATCCTCTAACTACATCTTAAGGATGAGAACTTATTGAACTTAAAAAGCATGAGTTTTACAAATCCATGAAAATTAGAATTGAGATTACCATTTAGAAGATGAAAAATTTAAGCAGTTCTGCTTCATAACATTAAAATCATTACTCTCTTTAACTTTTTATACTTAAGCTTTTCAAAATAAAGCATCGTATTACACGATAGTTTCTATTTCCACATATGAATTCAGCATCATTTATGCAAATTCTCATTTATGCAAGTTTGATATCGTCTTCAAAGATTGGCTTTAAAATCTGAAATTGTTTCAGCACCATTCTAAAAGCTTATTTATATAGTTGCAAAGGCTCGCTTTTTCACTTTATTTTATCAACAATTACGGACAAAAGTTAGAAATATTAGCAAAAAAAAAAAGATTGAAATATACAAAATAAAAGTAGAAACGAAATGAAAGGATTAAAAGGAATTAACAAATGTTTAAAACAATTCCAAGTCGAGAAAGTTACCAGCAAAATGAAAACATGAACCAAAAGAAAAAAATTAATTGCTATATCTTCTTATGCGATGTATAATTCAATGGTTTGAAAGATTATTATTAACAAAACATAAAGTCAATAAGGAAAATACAGGAAAAATTAAGTAAGGTAACCACCAGGCTTTTTAATCGTCCCCCTAATTCTACGCTGAACCCCAAGTTATAGAATATGGCTATAAGAAATACTCAACTAAACTATGAGCTCCTGCTTTACACGGATATGCTATTCAATTGTTAGCATCCAGTTGTGATGAGTAACTCCTAGCTTCAAGATTTGAGAAATGAATTGTTTCGGAAAAATATTAAATCTTTCAAACCGAAGTCGCAGACAGAAATACTTCTGAAGAAGAATCGATTCAGACTATTAGGTAGAGATTTCTGTGAGCAGCCTTCTTTCCAAAAAAGGTACGGCAAATGAACTGAAATGTAAAAGTATTAAACTCAAATGCGCATCGGAAACTATAAGAATGTTGGAATAAAAGAACATATTCAAAGCTGAAGCCTTCTTTTAATGGAAAATTTTGAATTTAAATACAATAGGAATGGAAGAGTACGGAAGGGAACAAGTAATTCCGCAATCTAAAATGCATATGATAAAGAAAAAAAAATTACAAATAGTAAAAAGATGGTATGATTACGTAAACATAAACATTGAGCAATGTAATAAAGTTACGAAGAAATCATAAATTAATAAAATCCGATCAAATCATTTTAAAAAATTTTGTTAGAAATTTGAAAAAAAGAATGAAAGAATGAACGGAACAAATGAATAAATGAATGATAATTGATAACAAATGAACAAACCAATTGATGCATAGTTGATATCCTCAATGGCACACTCTTAAGGGTCGTAAGATTGAAAACTGAGAATGTATTAGATAAAGGCGAGAAATTACTGCAAAGTGCTTACGTTAGAAATTCGGAAAAACTAACAACAAACATCAAAAAATCTTTGAAAGAATTCAGTAAATTTTATATTAATGATAGATTTATATTAAATGAATGAAAATGCAACAAATTTCAAATTGAAACTTATATTCTATATGCTTCATATACACATACTATTAGTTTAAATAAAAAGCAAAAGTTGAAGGGACGTTTCTGACAACTAATATTAAAAGCTTTAAAAAATGTCACAATTACTCACAATGACAAAATAGCAAATATCAAGCAACAAGAAGACTTCCAGCTTGACTTATAAAAAAAAGTTACCTATTAAACACAACGTATTACCTAAAAAATTTCAAAGCATCATTGTTTATCCTCTTTACATACTAACAAACGAATATCATTAATTCCAAACTGAAAACAATCCCGAAAATCCCAGCAATAATACCACCCCGCCGATAAGCAAACAATTAATTTTAACTAAGGAAGTCTGGGGAAAGAAAATAGGGTGAAGATAAATAGGGACTTACTGGGCAGAACTGCCCGAACGAAGACAATAGGGACTTACTGGGCATAGCTGCCCGAACGAAGACAATAGGGACTTACTGGGCATAGCTGCCCGAACGAAGACAATAGGGACTTACTGGGCATAGCTGCCCGAACGAAGACAATAGGGACTTACTGGGCATAGCTGCCCGAACGAAGACAACTACAATGGTCACCCTCCTCCTTCTTACATTGCTCTCCCTGTCAATGCACACAAAGATGCCAAGCAGTCTTCTTCCGTTTTCTGATCGCACTACAGTAATACTTTTCGTTTTGCACGCAAGCAGGTCGATTCATGGATGAATTTGTCTTCTTCCGTAGCACACTAACCATACTAGTGTATTGCATGCTGGAGTGGCTTTTGTGTCAATCAGACAAGACCGCCCCAAGAGAGAGAGGGAATAGAATATATGTTGACTTCTTCGAGATTTCTGTACGTATTGATGGATGAATTCCACCATTCCAGCAAAATTTGTATATATGGTCTAAGGGGAGCGATGTTGTCAGCAGACTAACAAAGACGAGAACTTCAGCTCAGTCACCGATCTGTCGACCTGAAGAGGAATGAAGTGCTACTGTAGTATAACTCCGCTGCAATCAGTAAATAAAGTTAAGCACTCAAAAACTCTGTTAGGTGAAATACGTGATAATAAAATATGTACTTGTTGTTATTTTACTCTAAATGAAATCATGAAATCAGAAAAACTGAATTGTCCTTAAAATACAAATTGCAGCATTTTGTCAATAATCAAAATTTAAATTTGAAATGTTAAAAATGATCTAAAACCATGATTACCTTAAAATTTAGTTAATTTCGCGAAACAAATAGTGCTAGAAACTTAATTATTAGAGTTTAATTTACTATTTAAGTTGAAAAATGACCACACCGAATGTGACCAGTGCCCATACAGAGCATAGAAAATAATCAATTAAGTTCGATTATGTCTTTTTTCTAATTAAATTATATTTTTAAGTAGTTTAAACACCTAATTAAATTGAAATTTGCTAATACCAGAAATTATTTTCTAATTCTATATACAGAAACTAATACAAATTGAAGCATTTTCTTAATATTAAAGATTTAAATTTGAATTAAGATTCAATTTTATTTTTTAAATTGGATTATGACCATGATTAATTGAATGTTTAATTAATTTTGCTGAGGATTTTTTGCGCAAAACTTAATTACCAAAGCGTATTTGAATATTTAAACCATAAAATGCACCAATATGACCAGTTCAATGCATATAACATAATCAATTAATCAAAATATATTTTTTATAGTTTTCATAATTAAATTAAAATTTGCTAATAATAGAAGTTATTTTTGTTTAATGTAAGAAAACTATTATAAATTTTAAAATTTTCAAATAATTCAAAATTTAAATTTGAAATAGAATTTAATTTTGAACCTTAAATTGAATTAAAACCATGATTAATTGAAAGTTTTATTAATTTGGCTGATGAATTTTTGCGCAAAACTTAATTACAAAAGCATATTTTAATATTTAAACTATAAAATGACCACACCATCTATGACCCGCCTCGATGCAATGCATGTTCAGTGATAATGTAAATTTAGCAATTGAAATATTCTTGAATAGCAAATGTTGCTTGAAGTGAAGTAAAAATGATCGCTACAATAAATGTGTGCTATTATCGATTCGATGTGATTTATTCTTTAACATATTTGTAACAATAGTCTACGACCATACCACGTTGAAAGCACGACATCTCGTCCGATCTGTCAAGTTAAGCAACGTTGGGCCTGGTTAGTACTTGGATCGGAGACGGCCTGGGAATCCCAGGTGTTGTAGACATATTTTTGGTGTTTTTTAGCCATGCATTAAATGCAATAATACAGTGATGAAAAATGGTTCATAGCACTTTTTATTTGATCTGTTTGCCGAGAAATAGTCAGCTAAATGTTGAATGCACAACAACTATATGATAATGATGCAGGTATGATCGACGATTTAATTACCCAAGTTTGAGGTAATTGAATGTTTCGGCCCAGAGTTTAGGCTACTGTGGCTTGAAGTAAAATTTTGGAACGTCCTGCATATTTGTGGGACAATAATGAAATGCGTTAGCAAGAATGAGATTTTGCTCAGGTTTTATCATTTGTATATATCTATCTGTATTACTTTGAATGCATGAAGATCGAAATTTTTCTCTACTTGCAATCTGTTTTGTTCCAGTGATAATGTAAATTTAGCAATTGAAATATTCTTGAATAGCAAATGTTGCTTGAAGTGAAGTAAAAATGATCGCTACAATAAATGTGTGCTATTATCGATTCGATGTGATTTATTCTTTAACATATTTGTAACAATAGTCTACGACCATACCACGTTGAAAGCACGACATCTCGTCCGATCTGTCAAGTTAAGCAACGTTCGGCTGGGTTAGTACTTGTATCAGAGACGGCCTGGGAATCCAGGTGTTGTAGATATTTCTTCTTTTTTTCTGGTAAAATTAATAACTTATTAAATTTATGCAAGAAATTTTGATTAAATTTAACCTTTTATCAACATGGAAACAATTTTGGAAAAAATATTTTGGAATATTTTGTCTTAAATTTATTTAGTTTGATTTTCGACTTTACTTCAGTTTTAATAAAATTTATTCATGGACATTTCAGGTTCAGTCTACTCTATTGTGTTTTCCTAGCTCTTCGGTTGATAATAATATCAATTCTAATTTAATAGTTGATTATATGTTAGAAATATAGTTACCTCATTTTCAATTGTGTCCTTTTCAGAAGAAATTTTAATATATCTTGTTTCATTTGTCACTTACCGGTTTTTACCTATTTTTCACTTAGTCCGTGCCCAAATATTGTTATCACATGTTGTTTATCAAATTTCAAAGAGATTTCCAGAAAAAAACGCCAAATTTCTAAAAATTAACAAATAAACCAACAGCTCCCTAATGACGCATGTAAAAAAGGTGAGTAGGAGACTAATAAATTAAGTACAAAAAAAAAAAAAAAAAAATCTTTGTCGGAAAGTATATTTCATCATTCAAACCAAATGATGATGTTCATTAAAAGGACGTCCAAAATGTTGATAATGTTGAAAATTTCTAGTTTTCTTTTTTTTTTTTTAGAGAAACGATTCTTCATTTACTTCATCAAATCTTTTCGACCAATTCTTCACATTTGGGAAAATTTTCTTGCCTTTAAACGCTATTGTTTGGCATCGTAATTCTTTTTGGACTTTTGAATTTCATTCTGCTTTCATTTTGCTATTTTTTTCCAAAAATTTTAATTATGCATATGAAAAACAAAAAAAAAAAAAAGGCTAGCTAAAATAACATCAATGACATTATGAAGATTTGTTGCAGCAATCTTATTGTTTTCAATTATCATTTTCTCTGATTTTTGCTATGACCAGTAAAGAAAGAAATGCAAAATTAATGACGCGCACTTTTATTTTAACTATGTAAGTTAATTTCGCAGTAATTTTTAACTTATTTTTACTAGATATTTAAAAATTTTTTAGCAAAAAGAAAATTAGTAGTTTCATCAAATTTATATAAATCTCTAATTTACATCATACATATATTTCATTTTATAGAACAGCTAGTTCGATGCTTCGACGCATTTGTCGGAAAAAAAAACATCTAAATTAAAAATAAACATTAAAGTTTCCTGAAGTCCGCTGTACTTTTATCACTTTTCGTCCATGAAAAAAGAGTTGAATTAGTATAAGACAAATTATTATCTTTTATCATATTTCTGGAAAAAAAAGAAACTTGTCATATTTTCAGTTCGCTATCTTTGATAACATCTGCTAATGCGGTAGCAATCAATTCATTTAATGGCAATATAGTGGGAGATAATGTTAGCATTATCATTTCGTCTAATTTTGTTACCCTATGTAATGTAAAAATAAAATTTGATGATATTATATTTCTAAGTTTGCTGTATTATTGAAATTCGTTGTTATCAGCTCAAAAATATTATCAATTCTTAATTAAATTAAATTGCATAAGTGATAAGTCAAAAAAATCTCGGCAAATTTTTTAAACATGGAATTTATTTGTGTTTTCTTTTTTTTTCCAAAAATTCAATATATATATTTTGTTTCAGTCACTGAACAATAATGCTAATCATAATGCTAATCAGCATCACGATCGTAGTCCGACACGTAGCAGCGCAAAACCATCAACCACTACCGAACGCGCAAAATATTTACCATATTTTATTGTTCCTCCTTATGGTCTACCATTACATAACATAGGTGGTATACAATATCCATTCCCATATACCAGTCGTACTACTACTACTACTACTACGACTACTACCAGATCACCATATCTTACTGAAAGAGGATACTTATCATATATTCGGACATATGGTGATAATGCTAGTAGATATTTACCGTTTATTGATGAAAGAGGATATTTGTCTTTTATCAATGATAACTTTGCTGGTAGACGTGGAAGTGATAGACGAAATAGCGGTCGTAGACAAAATGGTGGTCGTAGACGAAATGGTAGTCGCAGACGAAATAATAATCGTAGACAATATGAGAGTGGTGAAAGTGATGAAAGTGATGAAGGATATTTATCCTTGCTTAGAGGAAGATATGGTACTCGACCTAATTCAAATCCATTATATCTTTATAACTGGGGTTTTTATACTACTATCTAATGGCGCTGTACTTCGTTTTCTTTTTTTTTTTTTATACTTTTCTCATTTTCCAATAAAAGTTTTTGTTAATTTTATTGATTAGAATTACTTGGATGATATTTATACTAAAGCCGCTGATAATTACATATAATATGTCGTTTTAGTAATAGAAGTTTAAATGAAGAATTGCTGATCGGTATTGCGGAAAATTTTTTGACAAAAACTTTAAAATATTTTACTATGTCTGGAATATATTTGATATTATTTTAACAAGCTGTCACTAATGAGTCATTAAAACATTTTCGTGATTTTTTTGTTTCCTCACTATTTCAATTACTTTACTTTCGGTGCTGCGATGAAAAAGTAGACTGCTAAATATTATTCGTTTTTGAAAGTAATTTTACTCACTCGTCATCGTTTACTCCCAATTTCTTAAAATCATGATCTAAAACTTGTTTATTACTCACCTTTTTGGATGATTCAATTGTCCTTTTAAATTTCAGAAATGTTGATGCAAATTACTTGAATTTATCAAAAAACATTAAATATTGACGAAATGCATTTTATTTAATTAATAGGTAGAAGTTTGAAGTGATAAAATAAACTAATTGAATTATTTTACAAGTATTATAAAAACTAATTGAATTATTCTTACTGCATCAAAAAGTAAAAAATCAAAAAAACTGTTAAAAAGTTCTTGAAAAATTTTAAAAAATTGCAAGAATTTAGTCAAAAGTAACTGTTTTCCTTTTGATATAGGACTGTCAAAATTTGCTATCAAAAACGAATTGACGAATTGAGGAAGAAAAATACTGGTTGCTTCTATTTTCCAGGTAAAAAGGGTTTAAACCCAATCCATTATTTTCGTCCTATAAAAAGATATGAAGTAATTCATTTAGAAGAAAATTAAAATTGATCAGTGTTATCACATGCAGTAACATTTGTTTAAAGAAAACTTTTTACATTTTTTTCTCAACTCAAATTACGTGAGATAGTCAGTATTGATGAAATAATAACTTAAAATAACTTAAATAACTTAAATTAAATTTACATTTGCATCAATAAAAATATTTGCGCAAGGTAGCACCTGCAAGGATTGAGTTTTCCAGAATTTCGGAAAAAATTACTGAAATCCTAACAATGTAAAAAATTTTAGAGCCATTTAAAATAAAAACCTAAAGTAGATAATATACTATCATCAAATTTTCTTAATAAGTGCGCTTATTTTTGTCATTCATAAAATTTGAATTTAAAACTTTTCTCAAATTGAACATTAATTTTCAATATAAACTTCTTTTTGCAAAAAGTTTTGTAAATTTTCTTATTATATTTAATTTTTATTGGTTTCTATTTTTTTTCATCAATTAAATTTTAGTATAAAACAATAAAACGATTCAAAAAAGAAAACAAGGCAGACATTTTTTCAAATTAAAAATGAAATCAATATTGTAATCTTTTGCGCAATACAAGGAAATAAAAATAACCTCTGAACATTTTACACATCAAAAATCATTTATGTCATTTTTTCCAATACGAATTTTATCTAGGACTGTAGACACAACGTTGATAGAAGCTTTCGAGGAGTCATAATCTTGAGATGACTCATGATTCAGACCTATTTTTATTGCTTAAGATTTGAGTATATAGGCCTATAGTCATCTTGGCTATGGCTATTTTCTCCATCGAAGCATCATGCTGAAGAAAATTGTTATTTGAATTGAAGCGAAAACGCAACCGCATTTTGCACCATTGATTAGTGAGAAGCACCCAGGTATGTTTGATTATTTCATCGTGTTGATCCTTATATGATCATTTCGAAAAATTTATGGACATCTTGATCACCTCAAGATTTGTCATAGACCACTTCCATTAAATGTTTTGCTGAGGTGAACAAATGTCATCACGTCGAGTCTTTTGTTCTCTTTCTTACACTTTTGTTACAATTGTTTGGGAACGAATATCTCTGATAATGACACACTCTCGTTAGCTTTGAAATTACACTGATAGAGAATACCGCTGTTTAAAAATATTCTTTCCATGATTTTTCCACCAATGGGGAAAAGAGTTATGCCTCTGACCTTTCCCTTTTTCATAATTCCTACACATCAAAGCTTTTTATTGTGTCTAACATTAATGCAACCAGTAGTAGTAAAAATACAACAATTATAAAGTATAAACTTCTTTATCGAACGTATAAGCTCCATTATCAGAAACAACTGATAATGGAGTTTATACTTTCGTTTTCAGCAAACCTGTTTTGTTTTATCAAGAGAATCTTAGGAATTCTTCAGAGGATTTCAGGGTGCCAAAGCATTTCAGGGAAGGGATCTAGGGATGATTTACAAATCTAGTGAGTATTCAAAAAAGATTATCTGGAGTCCATTAAATACATTGCACTAGGCATTATTCAAGTGTGACAGACATGTAATACTTCTCTGATATTTTAAGCCATGGTCAATGAGGTGACAGTCTTGGATCGAGATGCATTCACGGTTCTCTGATAATTTTTGTAATGATGTGCTGTTGCTCTGCACAAAACTCTTGCAGAAGGTGATCATTGTCATCTCAGTATCCAATTCCATGGTTTTCTAGTAGTCCTTGCAATCATCAGAGTTGTACTCTGGCGTTGAAATCACCAAGAAAGTTAACAACTACAGCATATTTGTGAGTGTGATGGCGAAGATCCCTGTAGAATTTGTTTTTTTTTTTTTTTTCTGAAGGTTCAGCTTAAAGAGTTGGAACGCATGTACTGAAAAGAATAGCATGTTATTTTGCAGTAACAGATATAGAGAGATCAAAATGACCCGTTCGGAAATTAACAAGTTTATAGATAATTGAATTCTTATTCATGATAGCCAACTTCTGAAAAATGTTTCTGGGTGGAAAATCAGTAGTGTAGCTTGCACTTTGTTCCTTAAGGTTGCCTTTTTCATGAAAACAAGTTCACGGACAGCATAACAGCAACAGCATCGATGTTAAGTTGTGATTAATGAACACTGACAGTTATGTGAATTCTCACAAAGTCTTTTGTACTTTTCTTCCGACCAATGCTGTTTGTCGCAATGAACTGTAATTGTGTTGTTGAACAATGCTGAGGACACGCACAGTGTACAGTATCAAGCAAGGTTGTAATGTTTTAACATTCAAATGTTAGTCTGAACACATCTACTGCCCCTCGTCATTTTTGTTGAACTGTGTCATCCGCTAACTATAAGCATAGAATGGAGACGAGCTTTGATTAGATTACTTTTCCGACGCCTCTCCATTTGGAGCAAGTGGTGTTGTCGTAGAAAAAAGCTCATCTTCATTGTTTCCGAACATCATTTTTCCAGGGAAATCCTTCTAATTTTATTTCGTACTGCTGTAACTCTACTGACAGTAGCCTTTATTAGTTCTCGACAGTAGCCTTTATTAGTTCTCGACAGTAGCCTTTATTAGTTCTCGACAGTAGCCTTTATTAGTTCTCGACAGTAGCCTTTATTAGTTCTCGACAGTAGCCTTTATTAGTTCTCGACAGTAGCCTTTATTAGTTCTCGACAGTAGCCTTTATTAGTTCTCGACAGTAGCCTTTATTAGTTCTCGACAGTAGCCTTTATTAGTTCTCGACAGTAGCCTTTATTAGTTCTTATACCAGATTGTACAATATTGCTCCTACACAATAAATAATACGAATAAAGGAAACAACGCAGAGCAAACGCTAAAGAATCTAACAGTCCAGTCTGTTGTTGAACTTGTAAAACTGTATAGCACTTTAATTTGAATGTGTCGAGTGTGTCTTCATTCTGTCACTCTCTCCAAATCCTTCAATGATTTCCAACATATCTTCCTTGTTTACATATAGATCGAAACCATATACTGTAAATGTTAGCCTTTTCGGCTTGTTGATCCTTTAAAAAAGTATGTTCTTACTATTTGACATTCCTGTATTTAGGCTTCGCCAATAAAACTACCATAGTGAGAAAGCAGTCTCCTCCATGGCCTACATGAAGACTTCCAATGTACTTTTTCACTTTCGCTCCTTGGCACAAATGTGAATATATCATTTTAGATAAGGCATAACTACACAAACATAATTGTCCTCAAGTCTTGCGTGTAATAAGAATATCATTTTCTGTAAGATCTGAACGAGTTTCATTTTCTTGAATTTTGAGTTAGGGTTGGGTTGTCCTTCTAACATGGTTGGTTAGGTTAGCAAGCCCATCCTTCCCATGTGCATATTTGTCTACTTGATCTATCTGGTATGCGAAATCATCACTACTAATCGCAACCCATCCTTCCCAAAGATACGTAAGATTCTCATCCAAAATAAGATGGTGTCCACAAGAAAGTTATTTAGATAGGTAGGATACACGAAACTGAAATCAAAAAATTAAGTATCCAAATTAAGTCAAAGTAAAAAATCAAATATAAGTTGTGAAATTTCAAGAATCACAGAAAAGATGTTTATCAAATTTTATGACGGCAAATGATTCCATGCAATTTTTTGGGAAAAAAATGAATCAAATATCAATACGTATATGAATGTTTAATACGGATTTGTTTTGACTCGTTGCGTTTGCAGATTTCTGTTAAGCAATTTTTACTATTAATTTCAATACTGATTCAATATTATTGTGATGAAATCGAAATTGTATAACTTCTGTCTGAGATTAAAATCTTTATGCTTAAATCATACAACGATTCTTTGGAAAGAAACAGAAAGAAGAGGCTCCCAAAATGAAGTTTTTCGATTGAAATTCTCGAGTGAACTAGGAAATGAAATAAATTTCTCGAGGAAAATAAAACACCAACATATGAAGGAAATGACCAATCCAACAATCAAAAAAAAAAAAAAAAAAGAAAATTATGAAATAAAAGAAAAAAAAATTCTGTGAAGTGCATAGATGTACTGAAAATGCTATTTGAACGAACATTAAGATTGTATGTAATACAAAGTATAAAAAAAACTATATCAGTGATTACAAATATAGTAAATAACTGTGAACACTGTCACAAGTCAGATGTTTGAAAATTAGTCAAAC